TTTCTTTCTTTGTTTTCTTCTTTTTTACTTTACCTTTTTCTTCCTTTTGTAATGACCTGCCAAAACACAGCCTGAGAACACTGCTGATTTCTGGCATTTGCCGCTGGAATGTATGCCTTGCTGAGATTCTCGCATTCTGCTGTGATTTCTAAGTTTGTGTGTGTGTGTGCCTGCTGGCCTGCGTGCCTGTCTGTGTGCTTGTCGGCCTGAGTGTGTGTGTGACCTGCAAGGGTACTTGTTGGTTGAGAGGCCCCACAGGGCCGGTTCTTAGCTGTGGCCGTGACTTTGAGGGTTGCAGCAGGGGAAAAACACTCAAGTAGCAGGTAGGCCGGTACCACTGAAGTAGTGGTAGAAGTGTCGGGTAATCGAGGCCAAGCGGAAGAAGACAAGAAGTTGGCATTTTTAGAGGCCTAGGAGTGGTAGGCTAGAGGTAGGCCGGGACCAGTCCAAGTAGCCTGAGTCTAGGGCCTATACGAACGATATCAGAGCCTGAAATGATGTTTCCCTCCGAAAGGGAGGAGGTACCGGTCGCTGGGAGGCCGCGGCCTAGGAAGTCACCGCCCAAGAGGCAAGTAGGCCGCTATATCTTTGGGAGCATCAAGTAGCTCCTCCTTATTTGCGGTGTGCAAGGATTGGTGACGTACTGCTGGAACCAAGCGCTGGACTCGGAGCGCTGGCTGGAGGAGCAAAGCAGCTAGGCGCTCAGCCTGGCTATGGTGAGCAGCCCAGCCTGAGGAGGAGGAAGAAGGGGGCCGAAGGAGGAGAGTGGTGAGGTACCTACCTGGCTATGGTGGACACCATCTTCATCACCTTGATAGGCGCTGCATCTGGAAGGCCCCAGTTGGGCTAGTGCTGCACCAAGGAAGCTCGAGGCCGAGTCAGGCATGGCGGCCCGATGAGCAGCAACGTAGCTGCTTTGTGTTGTCCATTGGAGAGGAGGGCAGAGCCCTTTGTAGTCCACCATAGTGTTGGCATGTGATAGGAGGAAGAAGGAGGGGAGCCATGAATATGGTGGACCTGTTGTTGTGCTGGTAGTAAGAGGGAACTTCGGATATTGATTCTGGTTCATCCACTCATTGTTATTAATATTATTCGAAGAAGAATAAGATTGGCGAAGTCAAGGAGGAGGAGGAAGGTGGAGAGAGAAGGGGGATTTGTCATTGGTCTTGCTGGTGTACTTCTTCTTCTTCTTCTTCTTCTTCTTCTTCTTCTTCTTCTTCTTTGGTCTCTATCTCTGTGCAAGTGCTTTCATTTCTTTCACAATTGGGTGGCGTTGTCTTTCCTTGTGAATTTGCACTTTGGAAATGACCAGGATCGTAATAATTGGTATCAGAGCGGACTAACTTGCTGGCGAGAGGTGTTAGTCACCGTAACCCTAATTCTGAATTAGGTTAGGGCTAACGGCCGCTTACCTAATCTCGGATTAGGGTTGGAGGTTAGGGTTAAGAGGGGCGGCAAGGGATGTGGATGCTGGCCCCACCGGTTAGGTCATGTAGGGTCGACATTAGACCTAACCAGGTTGCTTGAGTGATTGAAGACATTAGACCTAACCAGGTTGCTTGAGTGATTGAATGGGGTGGTGAGACACAAAGGATGCTGATTGGAGTAAGCGAGAGGGAGTAGAGAGTGAGAGGTACTCGCACCTGGAATCTGGACTTCAAGAAGGCATTGAGTGACTTATGGGCTTCCCGCCACTTGACTGGAGGCTGCCATATCTGCATCGAAGAGCTGCAAGTTGCTACTTTGGCCTTCAACATCGACGGAGGATCCGACGTTGTAACATGGGTGTAGGAAGGCCCTCTTAGTCATGCTAGGACACATCGTGTAGTGTTAGCTACGGGTTAGGAGGACCTATGAGAGAGGGGGTGAGTAGTTATTCATCTTTGGAGGCCGGGCCGGGCCTCACAGGTAAGTGTCGTGTGACTTGGGTATGCCCATGGGTGGTTGCTTGGTGCTTCATGGCCTTCTGGGGTGTGTTGGGCTTTTTTCCTCTTCTCTGCGGTCTTGGTTGTGTGTGTGAGCATGTGGATTGCTTTCTCATGTGATGGATTGGTGGATGATGTATCTTGTTCTCAATGACATATCTTTCTATAGTGCATTGTCTTTTCACTTCTGAACGGTTGTAGGAGTAGGTTCTTGCTGGAAGTTGTCTTTTCCTTTTCAGTATGGTAGAGGCAGTTTGGGACTGTCTTGGGACATCTTTCTGATTGGTCCTGGTCCGCGACCTACTTGGGACCCTTCAGCCCCTACTTGGGACCCTTCAGCCCCAAATCTGTTGCTGTCAGTGCATTTCTTCGCTGTGCTGAAATTGGGGGGCGCACGGCTGGTAGGGACTTTCAAGGGGATCCTGACGTGTCTTACTGCATGTTCTCACACACTGCTCCGCGTCTCGCTCGACGACTGTCTGCACCCCTTGAAATCTCCATTGCTTTAGTTAGTTTCCTTCGCCTGACTTATTCGTGGCACACGTTCCATGTCAAGTTAGACAAGAGGGGATCTCAAGTTAATCTGACCGGACCCATTCGTTAAGTCAGACCTCTCTTTGAAATTTTTTTTCTTTTTTCTTTCCTGCTGCGTTGATGCCATTCTCTAATTCCAAATGAATTGCCGCTCCAGCTAGGAGTTCTACCTTCAGCTCTTGTGATTTTTTTCTTTTTCTTTTATCTGAACTATCTATGTCCTGTATTGAGATGTGTGCGCAAAAAGTGGAAAGAGAGAGAAGGGAGAGAGAAGGTATTCGTTTTGAAAGTCTGAGGAGGAGTAAGAGGAGTGTTCATCCAAACGTGAGCAAAGAGTGGACCCCTTTTGAGAGATCCACGGACACCCCATTCTTCGGCATGGCAGACATCTCATCTGCCCAATGGTAGGCCATGCTGGACGCAGCGGACGAGAACGAAAAACCTTTCTTTCAGAAACTTTATGAGGATGCGTTGCCTAGAAAAAGGGAGGCAGATGCAGCGGTTAGATCGGCAAGCATTGCCGATTAAATAACTTTTTTGACTATTCCGAAAATTAGCAATGCTCGGTTTAGAGAAAAGTTAGTCGCTGCTGTAACAGCCTTGGTCCACCTACGGACTCTAGAGAATTTTGAGTCGGGTGTGATAGCTCTAGAACGACAAAATCAAGAGTTGCATGCTGAGATTGCAGGCCTCAAGTAGGTCCAACTAACCCTCCCTCGTCCTCCTCGTCCGGCTGCAGTCCCAATCTTCCCCCCTAACACAGTCCTTCTGGAACTGTGACTTGCGCCGGAACCGGTGCCAACTCTTCAAGCGGCAGCGCCAACAGTTCTGCACTGGTCCCAATCCCAAATGAAAGGTCATCACCCCAAAACGCCGCAATTTTTGTTGGCGTACAATACAGCGGTCCCATGGTGGACAAAAGGGCAGTCACGCTGCCATCCAAGTACGACGGGAAGGGGGATATCACCTCTTGGATCAGCTCCATGCGCTTATACTTCAAGGTACTGCGTACGCGGCAGGAAGACCGAAGTATGATCATGGGCACAAATATTGAACCCTTCGTACGGAGTTTTATTGAACTCCAAGCTGTTAGTGCAAGTCACGAAAGGATTGACCTGACTGAGTGGCTGAAAGTGACTCCTGCACGTACTCTTGAGGACCTCCTCATCGCACAGAATCAAGATAAGCACACTGCACTCAAGGGAAGGCTGAAACTTGAAGCCCTCAAGGGCCAAAAGTGGACTTCCATGCAGGCTTTGGAACACCATTTGACTACTCTGTTCACTACTCCAAACTTGGGATGGACTGACGTAACTTGCGTGGATGTAGTTATGGGAGTGGCCCCTGAAGATTATGTGTCCTGACTAGGACTCAAGAATCACTCAACCTGGCGTGAGCTCTTGACGGATCTACTCGACCTAGAAGCCAAAGGCCTCGTCAAGCGTGTAAGGACACCAGCTGCAGGTAAAACTTTTCAACGCAAGCGGTTCGAAAGCAGCAACCAGTTTGCCCTGCATGAACATCGGGAGAGGATCAGTCCTATGCAGATGATCCGTCTCTGGATGACGATCTTGAGCCAGACTATGAAGTGGGTTGTTCTACATCTGCCCTTGAGTCTAATATGAATGACAAAGAGAAGTATGACGTCTTTAGAAAGACTGCTTCAAACAAGGGGGCTAACCGCAATTCAGGTAAGGGAACCATAGCACACCTCCCCAAGAATGCAAAAATTTCTAAGAAGCTTGAGGATGCTTCCACCAACCCTTGGGAAGCCGTCCGCATGAGTCAAAAAGAATGGGAAAGAAAGATCCAAACTGCGCGTGTGCTGGTATTGTGCAAAGTCTGGGCACGCTGTAGGCCCTTACCCTGTTAGACTTTCGAGCCTGAGTCGACCCGCTGTGGGTCCCAGTTGGCTTTGCTCTGCCCGATCTCATGCTCAGGGCGTGGAGCATTCGTTACAGGGGCACCCCCACCTAGTGTTTTGCGATGGATGGGGATGGGTCGTTTTGAGAGAGAGCTTCGATATTGGGGATGTAGATCCGCCCTCTTGTCGGATGGTAGACTCGCCAAAACATTCCATCGGCCGCGATTTTCCTTGATGCTTTGAGGTGTTATCATGCAATTGCTCCTTCCAATGCTCATGCAGTCCAGAGGGGGGTTTATTGAAAGTTTTTCTTCTTTTATGCGCAGGCCAAGCGTCATCTTTGGCCACGCATGCATTTACTAAGCCAGGCGTCCTCGGAACCTTGTTGAACAT